TTGTCAAATAATTTATTTGTCTAAAAATAAATGATTTTTTTTATTTAAAAAACTACCTCAAAATAATAGTATACCGACATAACTATCTCATCGAAATGTTTGTGTTTAAAGTAGATTATTATAGATATGTTGTGGTTAATTGGCATTACGTTATTTTTAATTATTATTTCGTTAAAACTATTTTTAGCTGTTACTAATATCCTGATATACTCTTTTTCTAAGTTCGAACTAAGCGGATATTTAAAACATGTTTAAAAATCTAATAAGTTAAGCTGGATAGTTCAACTGATCAAGAGCGTATCCAAGCTTTAGAATAAATACTTACATTTAACTTATTTACACTAATAACTAATTTACATTAATATATGCATTATAATTTAAAAATAAAATGTATTTCGATTGTTTAAGTATTTAGCTTAGATCATTTAATAAACAAATATTGACCAATGAAAAAAAATTATTTTTCCATTTTTTTTTTGTATGAGTGGGAGGGATAGATCCATCCGTACTACCGATTATGTTTTTTGAAAATATAATTTTGTTTAGCTAGATTGTTTGGTCAGCTGCCTGTAATTGTTCAACTGTTACTTTTTAGATACTTAACCGTGTCCTCAAATTTATCAAAAAAAAAAAAAAATTAAATCTCTTAATGTTGTAACATCAGAAATCAATGGACTTTTTCTTCACTTAATTTTGCTCATTTATCTTCTTTCTAGATTTTGCTTTTTCGTTTTCTTTATTCCTTTCCTTCTCACTACAATCATAATTATTCTTGAGATGTTATTTTTATTATTTACAGATTATTTTTTAAATTACTGTATCATTTGTTAGAATTTTTATCAAGTTAGTCTTTGGCCAGATATGTATTTTTTTTATTTTGTTCATTATTGATATTCTGAGGAAACTGAATCCCAGATAGTTTATTTTTAAATTAAATTAAAACTGTTTAAAAATAGTTTATATTTCTATTCAATTCTAAATCAGAAATAGGAATAATTTTTTTTATTTTTTTTTATTCCATTACACCTACAATTTGAACAAAATAGCTCTTTACGTTTAACGTATTGTTTAAAAGTGGATAAACATATTATACATAAAAAAAAAATTGGTAAAGTGTTGTTATTTAGTATTGATATTTAGAATAATAATAATAGTAAACATTCGAAAGATTATTCTTGTACTTCGGATGCAATTTAATAGTGATGTGATCTAATAACTATCGAGTAATGTAATAATGCCTCAAAGAAATTATGAAATTAAAAATTAAGGTAATTTAAAGGAAGAAATTTTGAAAATTCGCCATTTAAGCCCTGCATGTCTATTGCGATGAGGTTCAGAGGTGAGATGAGGAGTTGAGGTTTTAATAAATAAAAAGCAGGGATAAAAACCACTCAATTTAACGAAATCGTCTGGGTCGTCTTCGAGAAAATTGTAAACGTGTGTAGACGCAATGATATAAAGAAGGCATTTATATTAGGTCGATTTAAGCTTAAAAGCCCAAACAAATACTTAAATACGTAATTTCAGCATCATGTATTTTCATGTATATGTATTTTCATTTTTGAGCTATGATGTTCACCTACACTATTTACATTATTAATATTAAAGAAAAAAACTTTTAGTATTGATATTTTAACATGAAGTAAATATATTTATTTTTTATTTGATGTTTTTTAAAGTCCTATCAACTGTCATCAAGGTCATTAGCGACGACCTTTTTTCTTAAATATAATTTTATTTGTCGAATATACTTCAGCGTGTTTTCAACACCACTGTTTTCTTTATACGTCCTTGGTCATCAATTTGGAGTTCGATTTGCTGTTTTCGGAATTTTTTTCACCGGAATATGTGTTCAACGGTCAGATTAGCATTTTCACATGCATCACAATTTAATTTACTCATACAGTATATTATCAGTTAATTATAATTAACAATTAATGAAACTAATTGGTTTGAATCAGGATTCTGATCAGTTTATCTGATTTTACTATTCTCGTTTGTCGGCCGAAAGTACATCTCTAACGAGCTCATGGATATTCAAGACCACGCTGGGTCTAAAAAGAAGAATCCGATTAGAACAACTACCAATTCTGTCCGTTTAAGGAAATTTGTAATGGAATATTTGAAATAATAATATGGCCTAATTATCAAACTTCCAACATTTTCTGCAGAATTTTATACTTTTTCTATTGCCACAATTCCAGCAAGAAAATTATAATTCAGTTCTTTTTTCCGATGTTCAGCAAGTATGTGACAAACGGATCTTAAAGAGGCAAAGCCAATTGGATTGAAAGCATTCCGGAGTAAGACCATCACAGAAACTAGGTCAGATAAATGTCCGTTGCGAAACCACATCCACATCTGCTCGACTGTAATCTGTTATATCAAATAATTTCAGGTCCTCTTCCTCTTGCGGTCAGCTGCCTAGTTAGTTCTGGAGATTCACTACGGTACCCATTGTGGTTTCGTCTGAGGGCCTTATGACAGGATAAACAATGGGGGTTCGCTGAGGAGGTTTGGGCGAAGGATCTTATGGCGCAAGAGGTCAATGATTTTTCAAAACTATTTCTTCTTCTTTCATCATAAGCCACTTCGTGATGAGGCCAAACTTTTGTAAATTGATTATAATATTGATTGAGTGAGGTAGCTTCTCACGATGAAGTCATTGGTGGATTATCTATTTGATAGAGAATCGCGCAATATAGCCAGGAAAATATGTCATATCGATACCATTATCTTTTTTTTTTTAAGTCAAAGCTTCTGTAGTTGCGTTTTGCACTTTTTTTTCGTGTCGAATGAATTAAATTGAGGCGATCTACGATGTGTAATGCTCGGTTAAAGTTGGCTGGAGTCGACTAATTGAAATGTTTTTGCATATGGATTAAAATATCTCAAAAATCGGACCTGCATATTGTTAGCGAGGGAAATGTTTATCATTTCATACTCTTGGTAATGAACTGTATTCAAAATTATATCTTAACGTAACGCTTTGTTAGAGAGGGGGGAGGAGAAAAATAGTGTAAAAAACTAAATGATAATGAGTTTTATTGAAGACATGGATTAAAATATCTCAGAAACTAAAATTAGGACCTGCATACTGTAAGCGAAGGAATTGCTCAGCATTTAATCCTCTCTGTAATGGACTATTTTTTCATTTATATTTCATATTGTTTCCGACTGCTCCAATACTTACTAGACAAACGCTCCAAACTTTCTATTAATTACAAAAGACTTATCTACATAACTATAATAAGACCTATATGGACATACGGAGTTGAGCTTTGAGGCTCCACCAAACCATCGAATTCCTATCGTATCTAATCCTTACAATCCAAAATCCTCCGTAAAATCCTTAATGCTCCATACTTTGTCACAAATAAAACCATTCATAAAGACCTTAATGTAGCATATGTCGCTGATTTAGCTCGAGCTAGATATCTATCCTTTCATGATAAACTTCAGTCCCATCCAAATCCGCTTGTTTTCACTCTTGCTTCTTTCTCGATTCCTGATAATCCTCCTAGGCGTCTGAAAAGGAGATGGCCTAGTGATCTTCTTACTTAAAATTATTTAGAGAGTGCTACCACTGGGTAGTAACTCTTCAAGCCTGTACATGCCATTATTTATATTTGCGCATACTTACTAGTTGTATTTGTATACAGTTGTAAATTCCATTAAATAAACAAACAAAAAAAAATATTTCATATTATTAATCTCTCCTTTTTATCGCGTGGTCTGAGCATACACCTTAGTTTTTTTTGTTTTGTTAATATTTTTGTTTTGTTCTATTTTACTAAGAATTGAACAAGTAAATATAAATTGCTATATTGAAGTAAGACTAGATAAACTACCTCTTGATAGCACTCCAAGAATAGTTCCGAGGCCATTTTCTTTTCAGAAGCCTTGGTAATCAAGAATCGAAGAGAATGCAAAGATAGAAAGCAGTGGGTTGGGATGGGTCTGAAGTTAATTATAAAATGATAGTTCTTTGGATTGGGCTAAATCGGCAACATATTGCAACTGTTAATAAGAAAAAGTCGTTTGTAACAATTTTACATGTTTATTCTCTTTGCGCTGATGAAGACATTTTGTAGTCTAAGATTGCTATAAGAAGTCTGGTTATAAGTACTAATAGGTCATAAGCAGAGAGAAATGAAATATGAAATTAAATTAATAAATCATAAAGAAACAGTAGGTTTTTGTACTAACAGTGGAACATTACAGTCATTAACGATAATTTTATTTGTGTTAAAGTTAAGAGATTTTGCAAAAGATCGTAAGGACTGTAAGATGGTTTGTTAGAGCCATAAAGCTCAGCTTCTTAAGTCCAAATAGACCAAATTATTGCCAAGAAAATGAGTCTTTTATAGTTAATTGGAAGTTTAGAGCGTTTATCTTGTAAGTGTTGAAGTAGCCGAAAACTTCCAGCAGTTTCTTGCCGCTTTAGTCCTGTATTATGATTCCAAGTAATACGTTTTCTAGATGGAGTCCTAGGTAGTAGATCCTTTCAACGGAGATACGTGGGCAGAGGTAACCATTCCCTCCTTTCCCCCCAAGATCCATGTTGCATGCACTCCTCCCTCCTCCTTCAAGATATTTTATCACTCTCTTATTCTTATTAACAGTGCTAGCTAAAGTAGAATTTTAAAAATAATAGATCATATACAATTACACTTTCAGTGGTCTGTTCTATGATTCCCGTCGAAATGTGCCCTCCCTCAAAAAATGTAATGTCGTAAATTCCACCATGAAACCCCTGTCGTGAGGTATTATAAAACGATACTATTGGGTAATAATTTTACGGCGAAGGGTAAAGGTGCTTTGACGGTATTTGTTGTAATTTATTGACTAACATTTATTAATTTTTTTTGTTTCATAACAGTTTGATATCTGACTGAAAATTACGAATTGGCTTTATGTAATCGACACAGATAGTAAAATAATGTGGAAGAACTCTTGTACAAATTTTGTTTTCGAATCTAAAAGACATTCTTAACAACTTAAAATTCCTGAGACGTCCCATTAACGTGTTTTGCATAGGCAGCCAATGAATCATCCCACCAGGACCCGGGAACACAGCACCATCGGAACAACCTTACCTTGTAAGTGGATAGTTTCGAAGGATTGATGTCTGAATGCAATACTAACTAATATGCACAAAACCGGTTTCAGACACATTTAATATTATCACTCCGGGACTGATTTTTTATTTATTTATGTTAATATACTTTACAAATGTGAACGTGGTTTCGGTTTGACGTGGGCAGGCGTTGCTACATAGTTTTGGGATTTCTTAATCTTTAAGGATTGATAAGATCTTCATATTTATTTTACGGGACACTATTTAATTGGATAATTGATAACAAAAATTAGAAACGATTTATCATAAGCGATTGAGGTACAAAATAAAGACTTATGGTCATAAATTTGGGGTTTCGATTTTTATTTATTTCTTATTTTCAAATATCACGTGTAAAATTTCAGGATTATATCTAATAGTTTATTCGTTCATAAATGATGGCAATAAAATGATTTATTTACTGTATTGATTTGTTGTGTTGACATTATATAAATTTCAATAAAGTTCGCTAATGTTGGTTATTGCCTTCTATATAACAAATATTAGAACTATTTCAACCAGACATGTACGTATGATACTAAATACTTGAATAATTTTCAAATACTTGTTAGGAAAAAAAAAATGGAAATAAAAATATAATAATGGAAGAGTCTTATTTTCGATGTAAATACATGATTGTTTCATTATTTATTTATCATGGTTAAGATATATGAAATTTAGTTTCATTAATAAAATGTTTATAATATCGAATAATAAAGAAAATAAGTGTAGAAGTTATCTTATTCAAACTTTAAAAATAAGTCTATCAAATACGGTCAGTTTACCTTCCTCACCATTTCTTTTGGTTACATAACTACCTATACTTCAAGGTCTATTATAGTCGTTTACGAATAATTACGAAAGAAAAAGCCGTTTATAAAATATAGTCCCGGAAAAAAAAAAAAAAAATGATAAGACAAAAAGCAGGCAGAATTCGATAAAATCGAAATATGCCCCTCTAGGTATCAACTGAAAATTTCATAAAAATTAAATCAACGACAGTAGCTTTTCTATAGCTATAGTATAAATACACGTTATCTATCGAATAATGAAATATAACATTCTTAACAATTAATTACATTGACTTTAATTGTTAAATGAAATTGATACTACGCTATTTGTACTTTATCACACTAATGTCCTTCAAATTTCTCCAAACGGAACGAGTCGTTTTTGAAATACAAGTGTATTAAGAAAAATGCCTGCGAAAGAATTTTTTAAAATAGTCAGTGAAAATTTGATAAAACGAGTCAGCAATCTCTAACTCCCCCTCAACGAGTTGAACTGAACAGTTTTTGAAATAAATGCGTGTCTTAACAAAATATAATTATAATATAACATAGGCATATACAGGAGAGGGTGAGGGTCGTTGAATTCCCCACTAAAAAAATCTAAATAAAATAAAACTTAATATGATACAACGATTTTCCGAAAACTCAAGTAAAATAATTTTTAAATATTGTTGTTCCATGTATATAATGTATTTGATATACAAATATTTATAAATAGTAATAATAATACACAACTTAATACAATATTATGGAATTTGAAGTCATTTATATAGCTCAGATTTTCTTATATTCAGTCTTGTCCCTCTCTCCGCAAAATGAAAACTTCGTAAGTCCTGGCGTGCGTAAGCGAAAGTAATGGATGTAATTTGATGACATTGATGTGGGAGCATCTGATAGTTCCAAATAATGTGATTATCAATATTGGATTGGGATTGGTAAAATCATGGATTTCGTCAAAGATAATTATTTGTTCCTTGATATGATTTAAAACATGAGTGAAAATTCTTCTCTTCAGAGGACAGATTTTGTTTAAACCTCCATACGAATTTAATGCTTTCCCTCCTTCTGCAGTGAAATAGAAAAAAAAAATGTTACGGGTAAATATACACTGGAGATAAAACTCTTTGTCGCGTGTTATAGAACCAATTTAAATATTTATTACTTTAATAAAATATTTAAATTAGCTTTAATTACTTTCGAGAAAAACCTGTCTCCGCTTTAAAGTACTGGAAAATTATTTCAATAGAGAATATAAATGAGACTTTTAAAATGTGATATCAATAAAATATCCTGTTCTATTCACTTGATACATCGTAAATATAATGGACGAAAAACTAGCTGTTGTGTTTCGTTGAAATCAGAGACCCTTAAGTAGTGAACCAGATGAGTGCTATCTAAGCTAACGGAATGGAAGTCGGTTCCATATAACTTCTCTCCACTCCTTGGAATGCTGGAGTGTGTAGGCTTCTCCATGAGACAGCTGAGTCGTCATTTCATAACGAGCTTCTGTCCTCCTTCACACACTTATAGAAATACTGGACTTTTCGTTTAGTTTATTTATAGGTAGAAATATAATTTACAGAAGAAGAAAATATAAAATACATGAGTGAATTTTAACTGAGTAATCTATAAATTTACTGGAATACGTGATTACTTATAAATTCACACCTAAAAATCAGAAAATATAGAAAATAATATTTTTTGTGTATGAATTCTCTCATACACGAAGAGCATGCATTGCTAATTTTTTACATGCTTCATGCTTCACGCATAATACATGTATCAATTAAAGGAAGTATTAAATCTCTTTAAAAAAATATAAATTAGATGATTATACAATAGTTATAATATATAGATAATTTTTCCCTAAACCAAAATAGAGAAAACATAATTTAAAAAAAATACAAAATAAATACAATAAAATGATTAATCATATCAATCTGCTTGGATGTGTTGAAGACCAACTTCAAGAATAAATTTCTTCAACTCCTTGTTATATTTCTTGAAAATATATTTTTCTTTTAGCGAACTGTTATCACCATGGATAACTATGCTTCTAATTAAATGATAACGGTTACTGTCAATAATAGGGCTAGGGGGATATCATAGAATATGATGAAATGTTTGAGGATAGTTCTGTCGCAGTGGCATGTATGACGTTTAAAGAAAAGAATTGATTGCCCATGTTCAGTTAAAAAATGTGTCAGTTTTTTACGTGTAGTTTTGATTTCTTCATAATTAGAAAGTGTAACGTCTGAATAATAGTTATAAGAGTATGTATTAAAAAAAAAAACTTCGTGATACCGATAATCGAAAGTCTTTAAAATTATTCAAATAATATAAATTGGAAAGTTAATTGGAGGGGGGAGGGACTACAGTCAGTCTTCATTACGGTTACTTTGTCAGCTTTTGCTTTATTACTTTGTCACCGTTACTTGATAACATCCAGTTATAAAATTTTGACATATCTTACTTATCATATATTTAACATTCACTGGTAACTAATTTTTTTCACTACTCTCAAATAATAATCTAATTTAATTTATTGAATACTTGATGGTTGACAGTGGTATATTATTGAGTAAGGAGATGGTTCGGGGTGGTGGTCATAAAAATACTGAAATAGCAAAAAAACTACTTTATTTAAAGCCAACGTTTCGACCCGACTTAGCAGGAATATAACATCTTCTTCAGGAGTATGTATGCAACATGGAGTTTCGGTTGAACCCAACACAACAGTTTCAACTGAAACTCCATGTTGCATACATACCCTTGAAAAAGATCTGCAAAGTCGGGTCGAAACGTTGGTATTAAATAAAGTAGTTTTTTCACAATTTAAGTCAGTTATGACAGCCACCTGGGACCATCTAATTTTTATTTTTTTTATTTCATAATGACATTTACAACTGTATTAAATAAATACATCTAGTAAATTTGGACATAATGGATATAATGACATGAAAACAGTTGCTGAGTAACTACCCAATGGTAGCACTTTAATGATATGACGGGGCCATCTTCTTTACAGACGCCTCGGAGGGTTATCAGGAATTGAAGAGGAAGCAAGATTGGAAACAAGAGGGTTCAGAAGTTTATTATGGAAGGATAGGTATCTGGATTGAGCCAGATCTGAAACATAAGGAACATTAAGGTCTTTATGGATGATTTTATTAGTGACAAATTAAGGAGCATTGAGGATTTTACGAAGGATTTTGGATTGTAAGGATTGGATGCGGGAGGAATTCGATGGTTTAGTGGAGCCCCATAGCTCAACTCCGTAAGTCCAAATAGGTCTTATTATAGTGAAGTATATGAGTATTTAGTAATTAATGGGAAGTTTAGAGCGTTTGTCTAGTAAATGCTGAAGTAATCGGAAACGTCGAGCGGTTCTTGTCGTTTCAGTCTAGTATGAGGATTTCACGTTAGTCGTTTAACCATCTAATTTAATTTAATTTTTTTCCCCATGGGTAAAACGCAATCCATTATCTTCTTGTATTAAAATTTAAAAACGTGCTACTTATCAATATATTTTCCCACCTCACCATTAGATAAAATAATAAAATATTTTTATTTTATTAGGATTTATTTATAACATATATTTGTTTCTACTAACTTTTTACAATAGTTGTTTAATGATTTTTTTATAGTTATATTATCTTTCTTCAGCTCTGACGAGGGCCTGGGACTTAGGCCGAACCGTCGGCACAAAATTTAATTTAATAAAAAAATTATTTGTGTTTCTCATTGACTGCAGACTCTTAAAACCATTAACAAGTTACATTGCATTTACAATATCTATTAGTCATCCGATGAGCAAATATGATTAAACGTAATTGCGAAATAAAGCAAAATTTATAAGCGAAATAAAACTGTTTTGCATGTATTCTTAAACTCATGTTGAGTCAATGGTCAAGATTGGAAAGGGATAGTATGATAATTTTCATATATCTCGTCTCTAGTAATTTCGTTATTACACAATGCAGAGTTATGTAAAACATAAATAATGAAATTGGTGATGAGAACATTAATTCCAATTTTACTCTCGGATTTTATTAAATATACAGGATTACTTCTTTTTCATAAAATCTTCAAATTTTTCTATGGGTACATATTAACAAATAAAGTTTATAATATCAAGGAAAAAACATATTTTAACCCCTTTTTGACTATCTACAGGTAAATGATATAATAAGCAATAATTAATACGCTTTTTAATGTGATGTAAAGTTTTTTTGGGAGGGGAGAGCCTTTTGTTATTTATGAATATTATTTGTTTGTTTTTATTTCTTTTAGATTTGACTGTTCAAAGAGAATTTATGAATTGTATAATATATCTATTTCAAATGTGGTTTGATGGATTATATAATCATATTGTAACTAAAGATATAATTCATTGATATTTTAGATTTCAATTTTATTGTTTTTATGTGATGATATATTTTTTTACATATATATTTATATAATTGGATTACTTCGTTTTCAAATAATTAATTGATGGTCTACACTATAATAAATATGTTCCTGTAAGTCGAATACGAGAGTTATCACAGGAATATTCTAGTTACATTTTATTTTCTAATAATTTTACTACGGAGCTTATGTTATCAATTATTTCTTATATTATTGGTTCTTCGAACAGAACAGTATTTCCTGTGCTTAATAAGTTGACAGTAACTACTTCGTGGTTTTAGAAGTTCAGAAGCTCTGGAGTTTATCTTATACTTTTCTCTTCTCTCTCCTTTAACTGAATTATTCTTTCATATTATGGCTCTAAGCTCTTCCAGGACTTGTACTAACCTATCAGTTTGAATTCGTTTTTTTCCCATACTTTTCACCTTAGTACAAAATCCTACAAAATCACCTTAGTATGAATCCATGAATGAATAGCTACTTTCGTAGTCGCGATTTTTTTTTTGTAAACAAGAGATATTATTATAAGTAAGGCATTATTTATGCCGATCTTTTCTATTGAATAATGAATGCAACGAAACTACCTTTTGACTGCGTTAAAGCATTCGATTGAGCTGGATCGTCTACCCAGTTACTAAAACCAGTTTCCATAGAGCCCGCCCGAGCCCTACAAGGTAGGCCTGTTCATTAGTAGGGCCTTTGCCCTGCCCTGGAACAATGAGGGTATTCCAGTGAGCGTTTTCATGGTCGCCCTGACCTTCCAGCTCCAGCGCTGGAGCCACTCGGACTTGTATAGAATGTATAATTGAAAGGCACAGAGCTGCCCTGGCAAGGTTTAGAATGTGCGATTAGGCAGTTAAAGGAGTTAAACTGTCTTCTATAACGCATTAACATAGGGCAAATATGTCTTTTATGTAGATAACTAAAAATAAATTTAGGATCGTTTAGGTAGAAGATGTTTCTATCTATAAGAACAATATTTTTAGTCTTAACAATAAGCTTCCTGTGGATTCAAGTCGACTGATGAGTTCAGATAATTTCTTGTATAGATGGATAATGAATAAATCTTAAGAGATTAATCTAAGTCTAGGATTCGATCGAAGCATAGATAAACCCATTGTGTCAGGTCTGACTTTAAGGTTTTGGGTTTCGATGGAGTTCAATGATAGGGTGTGATGGGAGCAAAGATTGTTGAGGGTCCGTAATCCTTTGTTATTATTAATTTTAATACAAATAATAATAACCACTATTATTAATATTATTATTAAAGCGTGGTTTAGACAAAAATAAAAAATAAAACGACCGAACAACTATTTTAGAAAAAGGCATGTATAGATCGATGCTCATATTAGTGGATCCAGGATTTAATTTTGAGCGATTTCTTAATTTATTTTAATGATGGTAATTACTATCGAACAAAAGAAAAAAAAAATATATATACAATAATTTTTAAGAGGTAATTAAAGGCCTGTTTACAGGAAATAATGTTTTTTAGGAATCTATTTTTTAAATACGATCTTATTTTCCTTGACACGTGCTTACATTCAGTAGCGGAAATTAATGTTATAATTTAGTTGGTTATTTGATGGTTTAAGTATATAGTTCAAATCCATTTACAGAAACAAATACGGACTAATAAAATAAAAATTTCCATTTTGGAGGAACTTCAGCCCAAAAGCCCTTCTTCTCCCTGCATCGACTCCACCAATGGATCCATATATTATATAAACGTATAACTTAAAGAAAGTGGAGATACGTAGATAAGAAAAAGAGTAGTTTTCGAAATTTCAAGTTATTTACAACAAGGGTTTACTATGTTCGAAAAATAGTTTTAAAAAAATACTGAGTCGTCTTTTTCGTAAGCTTTCTACGTATTTTTCGACAAATTTCATTAAACAGTTGAAGAAGAAATTACAATCTTAAAAAGGGTATATATTTGTAATTATTGCGCATTTTCAGTAGAATTAATGAATGATTATTTACAATTAAACATACATATATTTTTAATGTGAAAAATGAAATGAATCGGAATCGACGTAATATGGCCTGATTCTAATAAAATTGTAATCATTATATTCCGTA